CTGCACGTCTCTCTTTCCTTTATCAAATCTGGTTTTTTTTTGGGTGCTGTCTTTTATTTTGGGACATTCGTCGCACCCAAAAATGTTGTGCACTTGATGAAGGGTTTCATTTGATTTGCTTGTTCTGCCATTTCTCTGGTTTCACTTGTTGTTGCCTGATGTTGGGCGCATCGCGTTTCGACGCTACTCGTCTCGTGTAGCCACAACCTCAACCCCATCCCTTTACATGGCATCTCATTTCCCTGGCAATGGGTGAATGAAAAATCAACATTTAACATATGTTCGTGTTAAGCAAATCGCTTAAATTTCCATATGGCACGAAGCTGACACTTTGCTTTGGCAAAATGCTTCCCAAGTCCGCTCTGATGCTGAGAACTGTTCTTAACAATTCAGATCACTGAATTGGGATTAGACCATTATTATAGTAAGTTATTTTTCATTTTTTATTATACCCCCACCCCGTCCAGCAGCTTTGCTTGTGCTTGTTTTTTGTTGCTCATTCCTACTCTCTCGCACCCTTTGCCTCATGCAGTGTGCTTCACTGGGGGAAATTAATTTGCAGGAGCTACCCCATCCCGCCCAGCTTTTTTTTTATTTTTTGCACATTCTCTCTAGGCTAGCTAGAAGAGCGTGTTGGCGTGAGAAGTGATGTAGATGTAGATGACAGATAAAGAAAAAATTTAAAATTAAAAAAAAACCGTTAAGGTTCTATTACACAATTATCGAATTACACACGAAATGAAAAAGAGGAAAACGGCAGATTTTCCTCAACCTTAAACTGTAAGTCACTTGGAATATCTTTGTTTTAAAACTGGTATATTAAAAAGGAAAATTCAAGACTATTTAATTCAATTGTGTTTGAAATCTGCTTGGTACTTACTAACGTGGGTTACACTTGACATCGCCTTTGTACTGTCATTCCTTGCAATCCATGGACCGTTGTCAGCTTCTGTAAGTTTAACTAGTTTTGAAGTAATTTGTAATTTCCAGAACCAAAACTTTTGTCGGGCACAAAAATCTCGACGGCAGTTGAAACAGAGAAGTAGCCATTTAACCAGGGAGCTGCTGAGAAAAAGTCAAGAAGCTTAACTGGAATGGCTCGTCGTGCACTTGTCAGCCATTTACTTCTGCTCTGCTTTTTCCCAACTCGAATTTATAGAAACATGGATAATAGCAACCTGCAGTTGCCATGAGTGGAAGCTGTTCGTGAAACTTAATTTTCCATTTGTTCAAAACGTGTTTTCGAAGCCATACGACGGACAGTTTCATTACTTTAATCCTTGTACGAGTGTGGGAAGTTAATTTCATATCCACAAAGTGCTGCTACTCCCAGAGGTCCATATAAGAGAATCGATTAAAAAGAAAGTTCATCATTTGACCCATCGATTTTGCAGTCTGTCCCTAATATAACCAAACTATCTCGGGTTTTAATAAATTAAATTTAGGGGTTCCCATTTACCTTAAAGCTCGCAACTCGACTTATCACAAGGTCTGCTATTTGCTCTGCTGTTTTGGAGTGACACTTTTCAAGCAAAAACTTTTCCTGTAGCCACATATCCAAGCACGTTCGTAGACAAAGGAAATTCTCATGCGTTCCTCTTGTTGTTTCTATACCCGGTACTCGGGTACTCGGGTACTCGGGTATTTGTATATTGTATTTGTGGTCGGAGCAATGTGCGTAACCCACAGAAGGAAACGTTTCCGTTTTATATATCCACAATTTTAAAGATAAGAGAAAAATGAAAACGCAATTCCATAGATAATGATCATACGTATCAGATTCCCGAATTAAGATCGGCTCAGATTAATTTGCAATGGCTTTCCCCCACCCCTTCCAGCAGCTTTGGTTATTATTTTGCACATTCTCTCATTCCATTCTTCTTCGTGCAGTGTGCGGCTCTAGGGGAGCTTATATATATGTAGGTAGTATATACATATGTATGTATGTATATATAATTATAAAATGTAAAGCTCGAAAAAATCATAATGTAACATATGTTCATTTTTATCACACAAGGTATACATTCATATGTACATATGTATCTATGAATGCAAGTACATACATACATACATATTTACATATGATATAACTGAGTACCGGGTATAAAAGTTGTGACGCCAACCAAGCGTCTCACAAACGTCGCTACTCGTTTGAGGCTGGAATATGTCGGTAAAGTGGTTTTTTCGCACTTTGCTCCACTTCTTCTAGCACTCGTATGGAGTGAAGTGTGGTGGCTGCTCGACTGCTGACATGTGTCAGATTGTCGTTAAGTTCTAATTAAATTTACTCGCGTTCTAACTATGTATGCTTTATCGAAATATTCCACATGTTTCTACTTGCCTTTTATATCCGAAATTTCGTTACAACCAGCCCTCTATTGGACTTTATTACGGGTTTGTAATTTAAAACTCAACTGGATGTCGAAATGTATTCTCCCATATAACTAAAATGCAGAATTCTCTCTTACATTGTCTTAATCTTTATCTCACTTTTGATTTTCAGGTCACACGAATTTCAGAAAAAGCATGACAAGAAAATCCACAAACATATAACTTTTGCTTTCCAATGGTCAGTGGCCAGAACCACAGCTACTTGCTAGGATACCGTCAAGTTGCTGCCACATGAAGCTTCACAAAGCTCTAGTGAACGGAAAATATGTTTTAAGTTTGACATCATTATACCCGGTACTCGAACAGTAAATATGGTATATTGTATTTGTGCACAAATTGAATGTATGTAACACACAGAAGGAAACGTTTCCGACCCCATAAAATATATATATTCTTTATCAGCATCAATAGCCGAGTCGATTGAGCCATGTCTGTCTGTCCGTCCGTCTGTCCGTCCATCTTGTTGAGCGCCTGGATCTTAGAGACCATAAAAGCTAGAGCCACCAAATTTTGCATCCAGATTTCTGTATGCTCACACTGTTACAAGTGTATTTCAAAAATAAACCACGCCCCCTTCCGCCCCCGCAAAAGGGCGAAAACCTCCCAATCCTACAATTTTTAATATAAAAGAAAACTAAAAACGCCATTAACCGCTAAGGTGCAGATGTAGTACTGTAGTAGATGTAGTACAGAAGCGTCTCACACGTCCCTTCTCGTTGTTTGTATGTTTAAACGACAGCTTATGTTTCTCAAATCGCGACAAAGACAAGGAAAACAATTGTGTACAATTTAGTTTCAAATATTTTAAGCTTCATCTGTCACTAAAACAACTATGAATAGAGCTAATTAGTTCCTGGTAACAATTATACAACTACCTTAAGCTATCAGTATACCCGAATGTGGGTTGGGAGTATACATATATGTGCGATGTATTGGTGTGGCCCCTATGTGCCATCTGCTAGATATGTGTCTCAATCGAATATGGAAAGAAAGTCAGTCTAGAGGACCTGTCCTTTGTTCTGCAGATACGAGAGGCTACAAACAGATCGTTATACGGCCTCTTGAGTTCCGAAAGCAGATTCGCGAAGTATGTACTGACGGGGCCTTCGGGATTAATGGATGTTAGTTTCCTGATTTTAAAAGTAGATTCATTTATTTTTAAATGTGTCCACTTCGGCAAACCTAATTTTCAATGGTAACTGGAGATATTTTTCAGCGAAATATAAAAAGTAGTTAATGTAGTAATCATGAAGGGTTCGAATGAATTCTGCCTTTAAATTAAATTTAATCTACATATACTGGTAAAAATAATAGAATGTTTAATAATTGGTGAAGAAGTTAAAGCAAATTCAATTCAATTATTATTTAAAAAACAACAATTGACCTTAATAACAGTATCAATTATGAGGTCCACCTCATCTGTGTCATCGACGACCAGCCGACCAGAAATAATTGCAAAATTGTCATTATTGGGCCTGTGGTTAGCCAATTCCTAAAAGAATAAATTCCATGCAGTAATCAAGATAATTAAAGGGGGATTCAATCCATAATTGCTAACATTTGGGACAAACAAAAATCGATAATAGAACATAAAACTAAAAAATGCAATTTGATTTACATATAATTTAAAAACATTCTTATGTTAGTTAAGATCATTTTTAATTTAAACAGAAACCGGAGAAAAATGCTTTAACTATTTTAAAATAACGTAAATAATTCAATTAGTGCGGTGCTTATAACACTACTCTACAAAATTTCACTTTTTTAATGGCCAAGTTTTCAGTGCCATATATTTCGCTATGTGCCCAGTATGAGTAATGTGGGCAAAGTGCAAGCTCTCAGGGTACACTTTTTGTGTTTGTTTACAATATCAAGTCCATTGGAAATTAAAATATTATGTGAAAACGGGAGAAGTGTGTTATTTTTGCGTAGATATGGAGCCTGGAACACAAACATGCCTGGAGAAAGCACCGCTCTATTGGATAAGTCCGTTTCGGGCGACTCTTCGGGTACAGGGTATTAAAAGTCGGTTTGGCTCGAAGCGAAAATGGTGTCGAGTAGTGTTATAATTATGTTTTAATTAGTTCGAATAATTGCTCTTTGTCCCTCAAAATGTCAAAGAGCTAACTCATATTTCCGCCTCGTGTATTTTAAATGCATGAAACCAACTACATTAAATTGGTAGTTGATTCCATGCATAGTGGTGACAATAATTGTATATATGCCAAGAGCTTTCCTTTTTAAGACGAAGGACACACCTAAAGCCTGTTGATGTTGCTGCAATTGCCATGGCTGTTAATGTCGATGTTTTGTCTCTACGATATGAATATAAATTACCTAGTGACAAATCGCTTGTCTACACATTTGCCCTTATTTGCCAGTTGGTTATTTATTTCATCAAAGTATGTCACGCCATGATTCAGCACCTCCTTCTTACTGAACGAACATACTGAGACGTTCTAGTGACATTTCGACTGGAATTAAATGCAAAGATAATTGATTATTTTAAGGCATTGCCATCGAAACCCCAGAGTAAACGAGCTCTCTCTTTTTTTTAATATCCATTATTTATTTATTTTCTCATTAATTCTGGTTTTAAAAACTGTTTCACTACATATGTAAGTATGGTTTTTAAATATTCAATTTAATACTCAGCTGCGATGGCATCTGTTTCATTCGTGATATTAATTGTACTCCCTGTTTTCTATTCATATTTAAACACACATTTGTTCTTTGGCTTTTCTTTAAAATTATGGATTTTGTCCAACAATTTTAAACATTAAATTATTTTTTTGAATAATATTTTATTTGTCTGGGCATATTGTAGCAAACATAGAAAGACCGCTAGTACCACCCTTAACAAGTTTTTAAATACTCGGGAATTTGCAGATACATACAGAAGTTCGCCAAATATGTTCATGTATTATATTTATTTAACTATGCTTACATCTGAAAATGATATTTTAAGAACATTTGTCTTAGTAATACTAATTTCTTTGTTTTAACTGTATGGTAGGTGCATCCTTCATGTTATTTTGAATAATTCTCTCTCGCTCTGTCTTTTGCATTAGTTTGTTCATATAATTTCTATGATTCGTTATAATACGGAGTAACGAGTACAACAGCCAAATTTTAATCTTAGCTTAAATTATATACATACATACTTGTTTATAATAATATTCATATTGCACACTTGACTGAATGAGACTCTCCCACATTTAAGTGCATTTTCCGATTTACTTACAATTCTATGAGTATTCTAATAATTCGCCTTAGCCAACTAGTTTCTATCGACTTTGTTTTAATTAAGCTAGCTAATATTAGGTATACATAGAAAAAAACCAAAAGTACAGCAAAGGCGGTGACATATTTTGAAATCTTGTTTTACGATGCCGACAAGAACGGGGAGGGTGTGCGGGCGTTTTGGTTACGCTGCCCGACATCGCCAGAAATGTACTTCCAAAATCGGGGCTCATAGTCAGCACAATTTCGCGTACTTTTGGTTTTTCCTTATTTTTGGGTCTGCCCCTGGCTGGCTCCAGCTTTCTCTATACTCGCACATTATATATTGTGAATATACAAATAATTTATTTAATGCTTATCCTGGACTCAGAAACACTTTACAAGCACTTCGAGCTACTATTTCTTACACATGAACATTTTATTACCTATGAAATATTATTATGTCGTATAACAGTTTAACTTTAATGCGGTAGACTGCCTGCAGTCCAAGTTAATTATTTCAACACACACACACATTCACGTATCCAACTATTGACCACAGCTGTTTCGTGGTTTTGCTATAAATGACAGGCCTAGGGAGAACAAAAGCAGCCAGGATTACTTTAGATTCCTTTAGGAATATAAAAAACTGGCCTAAGTCCAAGGCCGGAAGTGGAATTAATAAACTCGACTTCATATGAGGAACGATTTTAGTACAATTTTAATTCAATGCCTAAATACCTACCAGCCATCATCAATACGAGTTTACTCCCCGATTTGGAGCTGTTGGCCCGACCAAATGTCATTAAAGTCAGCTTACACATGTTCGCTTTCTGCCGCTTTCTGACTCTATTGCTGTGCTCCCTCAGTCGTGGAAATGTTTCGCTCTTTAGAAGTCGAGCATGTTATTTTCGTTACTGGCTTTACAGCTACCATTGTTGTGGGTGCGATTTCATGAAAAGCGGGTTAGAAGAAGTGGGGGTTTGAGTTGACGTATTTCCACACAATTGAGCCAAAAACCGGCACATTGGCACAAGAAATTTAATTCCGTGCCTCTTTCGAATTCCAAGACAGCGACAAATGTTCGACAACTGTAAGGTACAAATTGAATTCGACAAAGGAAAACATTCGGGGAAATTGTGGACGGATGAAAGTCACCCTTCCTTCAAGGCGTTCTACGAGTTTGCTACGAGTATATGCGAATTGGCACGACAGTTCCCGCCATTTAAAGGGGGAAAAAAAAACACATACAAATCTGAACATAGAAGGAGCATTGCCACAAGGACCAGTCACACCCGCCCATCTACACTCACTAATATATGTAAAGCCGTAACCACGAGTACACACACTCCCATTAACATATACATATTTTATATCCTCGGCTATAACAGCCAATTGCTAGAGAATCCGCCTCTGCCGCCTTCTGGCATCGTTGTCACTTGATTTGGCATTTATCAGCATTTCTTTCCACAATTTTTCTCTTGTTTTCCTATTTTGTAAGTTTAACGAACAATGGGACTCTCCACCAGTTAGCTGACATTCTCCTGCATATAGCAACCGCTATTCAATGAAATCCTTCTGTGAATATGCCTAGAAATGCGTTTCGAAAATCTGTAAGAAGAAGAAGAGTTCAAAATAAGATTAGCGATTTAAATATTGATGGGCGGAAACATGAGCAGTTACAATTTGCTCGAAATATTCAGGAGAACCATCTTCAGGATTTTCTCTTTGTTCTCATGCTCCTGGCTTAAAAATAAAAGAAAAAGGGCACGGTACCCGGCTACATTAAGTGAAAGAGTAGATGGCCACAATTGAATTTGTATGTGATATACCCACGCATTTTTACAACATTCATATACAAGTATGTATATCTTTTTTATTCATCCACATCAGAGGTTCGTATGGTTCCGTAAAACCTTTTGTCATGCAAGCTGCTTACGTCAATTTGTCTGCACTCTTACCAAGCAGCCAATCGCATTTGAATAGCCTGGAAAAATAAATTTGTAGCTCAGAGCAAATACACATGCAAAATATTTAAACATGACTGTGTTCCCAATTCAAAATCTTCATTACACTGTGGGTCGGTCGCGCGTTCCTGCTTTCAGAAATCATAACTTATCATCGATTCCAAAGAAGGCCAAGAACCTAGCAATGAGGGTTTGTTATACAAAAATAGAGAAGGTATACAAACACCGACTTTCTACTACTTCCTACTTTTATGACTTTTATGCTGATCAAGATTATATATTTCTATCTACTTTATATGGTCGAAAAAATTTCCTTCTGTGTGTTATGCACATCGCTTCGACCACAAATCTGAGATACATACCTTTTTAACTGTTCGAGGACAGCGTATAAGAAAAAACAATATAGACCATGAAAACTGGAATTAATGTATGCTTGATATCATGATATTTTGGGACCACTGTCACAATTGTTATAGGGGCAGGCATCGGATTGCAGGATGGCCAGGCTAACAAAAAAAAACTGTGCCACGCCCCTTCTTTGTCAGAGTTCTACTGGCCTTGGGGACATATCAAAATCGACATGGTCCTCTACTATGTTTCCTTGATGGCCCCCTGATTGGCCTTAATTAGCATGAGCTTGTTGTCAAGAGCTTGGACCGTTCATTATATTTCCATAAAACTGCATTTCGTGTACGGTGCGAAGCTTTGGTAGACTAGCCACTGTCATGCAATTTTAATCATTATTTAATTTATTCCATTATCACTTTGATGGCGAGAGGAATGACATTCGTGTTAATTAATCCTTGGCTTTGGGTATCAGCAAAAACTTATTTGTGAAGGTGTGTAATAAATTCGAATCAAATTAAAGGGAGATTTTAAAGGTGGTACCTGCAGCTTCGCTGACGGTTCAATTTTCCATTGTGCCCAATTTTCCTCTATCCCCACAATCGCTTTGACAATTAAAATCTCAGCAATTTGCTTTTAATATGCGTTTTTGTGAAAAGTTTTTAATGTAATATGGAATAATATGCCTTTTTGATTTTCTCGTAAATAATTGATGTTCCCTCCTCCTTTTGGTATTTGGAAATTTTAATTAAAATGACTAGTCTAATAAGAGCATAGCTAACCACAAAAATATCTGCCGAAGTGTGGTTGTCTATCTGGAATTCTGTGGGCGTGTGTAGGCATCTGGGGCGTGGACGCGAACGTGGGCCTATCGATTTGTTATTGCCATGATGCTATCAATTTGCATTTTGGGTTTCGATGGCAATTGATGAGTGCTTTTCTATAAAAACCTAAATCTTTAAACATCTTGTAGCTGTCCTCTTCATAGAACTGAATCGTACAAATTTGAGTATTAAATAAAGTGAATAAATTGATGCATCTCTACTTTGGGATCTAGTTTAGAAATTCCATTGAACTATATGTCCGTTCTTAATCCCTCTACTTATCTTAAGTAAACTATTGGTCATGCTTTTGTTTCTTCCATTCATAGTTTCCTTGAGTTTCCTTTTATTTTCAGCAGACTATGTGCTGGCTTAAGAGTAACAGCAATGACGAAAGCTGGGGAAAAGCAGCTTAGAAAACATATTCTAAGAGCGAATCAATTTTTACTGGTCGTATAGCTGCAAGAAGAAAGTTTTTCTGCACTTTAATGATTTAAAAAGATTGATTAAATAGGTGCTATTTTTTATATTTATACTCATAGTCTGGCTACATCTGGCTTGCGAAGCTTTAGTGACAGAACGCTGCCGACAAATTAAATCAACTCAAATGGTAAATGCCTGCCGTTAGTAATTTAAGTGAAATTTCCTAACCTGCACCGCTGCAAAGGCGAAGAAAAACAAGCCAAAAGTGCGGGAAGAGTATGAGAGGAGAGTCAAACAAAGGTAAACTTGTCCCGAAGCCTTCGCCTTCGCCATGGTCTTTGGTCTTTTTGTCGCCTTTGTTTGTCAGCCCCGGAGTCGAGCAACTTGAATACCGCGTTATTAAGTATTCATTATCATAAACTTTGCTTGTGTGTGGGTTCTCTTTCTCCCATTCCCATGAATGGGCCGTGCAAATATACGCTGGGTGCGCGTAAGGATATTCTTCATGTACGCATTGTGTTGCGGTCTGCCAATAGCGGGACTTGACAGGAGCCAAGCGGAAATTGTAGAACCATCTGTGGCCTGAGGGTTGCCTCAACGAGGCTATGCGTACAGTGATTGCCATTGGCACAATAATGTTTATGTAATTAATTTTAATGATATTACTTTTCGTTTTGTTTTCGCTCCATTCTCCAAAAGTGTCCCCAAACACACAAAAGTTTCCCTTTATGGTGTGGCTATTGTCTTCAGGCAATGATTGTTCCTTTGCATTATATTCTATATTGTCCAGTTTGCAAAACTTTTTCCAACAAAATCAATAAGGAGGAACGGAAATAAAATATTTAGGAAACAAACCAATAAATAAAGTCAGGGAGGTGGTGACTCTCTAGATCTGGGTGAACGATGTTGAGTCGAAAAAAGTGTTTGCTAATTGATATGACTGAGACAAATTGCCGTCTACTTACTACAAACAATAAAACAAGCTCCAGAACGTTCCTCCATCAAACTTCTCCACGCGGCCCAGCAGGACAGCAGGACTTCACACGGATGCAAAACACATACAAATTGTCACCTGGGAATACGCATTCCTGTTAAAAGCAACCACATTCAGTTTCACATTGGGCCTGCTCGAGACTTGAGTGGATTTTAAGTTGGCCGCAATTATATTGCGGCACAAACAAGCTCTGTGGCAGGTGGTTGGAGAGAGGCTCAACAGGGAGGCAACTACGACGAAACTCAAGAGGGAATGTTCTTTTTAATGAGTGGCGATGTGGACTAAATTTAGCGCACAGATAGACAAACACAAGGACAGGCGGCTGATTAGGGTGTCAGTGCATTTAATGAATTTTGCATAGAGAGTAATTAAGTAACGACAGAATGTGGCAGAAATGAGAGGGAAGGACGCGGCACTCGAAGTAGGATCAGATGACAGTTCAATGGACCCAACACGTGTTGGTCCTTATGTAAATGAAGGCTCCCCAATGAATCCAGACCCATCAGGTTTGACATCATCATTTAATGGAAAATTATGAAGTCAGCGTCGAAGCCCCCAAACCCCAGCAATGCTTTTATTTGATGCTTATATTATCCCCATAGCCGTGGAGAGCTGTTCAAAAATCAGAAAAAAAATGGAATTCAATATATGCAGGACATGAAAACATTTAACGCAATGAAATTTAATGAGCCTAAAATGGCGCAGTTACAAGTACAACGAGTAGAAACGTGAGACGATTTCTACGCGTCACAACTTGTATACCCGTTACTTAGTCAGTCCACATGTATGGATGTATGTACATACATGTGTATGTAACCTTGTGTTTTTTTCGATTTTTGCATTTTACATTTTTTCTACATATGCAATCTACACCACTTTTCACACCCAGAGACGCACACTGCATTAGAGAGAGTTTGCGAGCGAGAAAGAAAAACTACAATGAGCAAGCATAAGCAAAGCTGTTGGAAGGGGTGGAGGGAAGCGACTGCAAGTGAATTTCTTTATTCTGTCTATAATAATGATCTGAGCCGATCTTAATTCGGGAATCTTCTCTCTTATCTTCAAAATTGTGGATATAAGAGATTTTCGACCTTTTTGGGTCGGAAGAGGGCGGGTCGAAATTTTGAAAAACACTTTGATCATTGTGATATCTTTGCATTCTGGATTCAACTTTTGGAGGCTCTAGAGTTTATAGTCTCTGAGTACTTGCCGACAAACAAGACAGACGGACAGACATAGACTCGGCTATTAATGCTTATCAAGAATATATATACTTTATCCGGTCAGAAATGTTTCCTTCTGTGCGTTACATACTCTTTTACTCTTCAAGTACAGGGTATAATAAGGCCCGAGGGAAGGGCCATGAAGTTTGCTGTGGAGCAGCTCGGCCCATCAAAGGCGCCTCGAAAGTAAACTGATGTATTTTTAATTGCTGCATACATTAAAATAGATTTACATGACAAGAGGAAAGAGGCAGGCCAAACAACAGAGTAAAGTTCTCACAGAAAGGCAGAGACAGGCTCGCATCCCTCCACCTTCACTGCTCCCAAATAAAGGATTGCTTGAGTCGGTGCTTGGGGTCGGGTCTGAGTTTAACCTGGACAACACACATGCAAATATTTTATGACGCGGGCGAGGGAAGCAAAAAGGAAATAAAACTTCCCACATAGGCAGACTTGAAAGAGTTCAGCATTAGATGAACCTATGCAAATCTGGCTGGAATGCTCTTATTATTGAGCTTACTCCTCGTCACGGACTTTAACCCTTAGAACGACCCGGTGCACGAGTCTGTGGATTAGGTGAGGTCTTAGAACTTAGAAGCTTTGTGATTTTGCGAATTTAAGAATCATCATGACAAATCCATATTGTACACACTTTTTTCTTTATTCCACAATAGTGTGAGGACTCTCAGGGAGGCGTGCTGCTCAGATAATGATGCGAACCACTTTGATGTATGGTAAATCCACATATACATATACTGAGGATATTTAGTAGATTTTTCATAGAAACAGATTTACGTATCCATTAACTCGGCTATTCATGTGAGTCTTTCTTTTCTTT